CCATGCAGGTCTTTTTAATATTTCCACTAAATCTAATTCTTTGCCCACAAATCTCAATAATTATTATTAGCTTTCAATCTCTATAGGCTGAAATTTAATTGTCCTTAAAATGATTCGGGTGTACTTAATTTTCACCAGATAAGGTCGATAAATTTCTACAGTATATTTTCTGATTATTTATTTTTTGTACAAACATTTAGCATTTCTCACAGAACATTATTCTGACTTATTGAAGAATACAATTTAACTACAAAGCAATTAACTTGTTAATTAATTGCCTGGGAAATATAAGGTTTCGTACTTTTTGTTAGTGTGAACTATACAAAAAGCTAAACTTATATAATTGTTGTTAGTGTTAGCTGCTAACACTAACAGTGTTGTTAGTGTTAGCTGCACATAAAGCTAAAACGTTGCACCTGTTGTTAGAGTTCGATTCACTGGAGAATCCTTATCTACAAACTGATTATGAAATACAGTATAACCAAGAAAAACCACTGGACAATTATTGTATACACACGGAGGATGAAATAACATAAGCAATAAAACCACTGGAGGAACCTTATCTTACACATTGCTGATCAAATATCCAAAAAAAAGCCACTCGACAGTCCTTTTATACATATTGATGATGAAATAACCATGAAAACTACTGGACAATCATTTTCTTCACACTGATGATGAAATAACCACGAAAATTACTGGACAATCATTTTATTCACACTGATGATGAGATAACAAAATACAAGAAAACCCCTGGAGGATCCTTATCTACACACTGATGATGAAATAACATAAGCAATAAAACCACTGGAGGAACCTTATCTTACACATTGCTGATCAAATATCCAAAAAAAAGCCACTCGACAGTCCTTTTATACACATTGATGATGAAATAACCATGAAAACTACTGGACAATCATTTTCTTCACACTGATGATGAAATAACATAAGCAATAAAACCACTGGAGGAACCTTATCTACACATTGCTGATCAAATATCCAAAAAAGCCACTAGACAGTCCTTTTCTACACATTGATGATGAAAACTACTGGACAATCCTTTTCTACATACTGATGATCAAATAACCAAAAAACCCACTGGATAATACTTATCTACACATTGATGATGAAAACTACTGGACAATTTTTTTCTATGGTGAATTCCGAAACCATTGCTCAAAAGACAACATTGTTATTACACAAGAAGTAAAAAGATTATCGAGCATGATACAAATATCGGTTCTGAGGTGTAAACAAATCAAAAACACTTTTCAAAAATATCGTTCAAAGGGGCGCTAAAAAAAACAGTACTCAGTCAAAAAATTTCGTTTAGAAGCTGTAAACAAATAAAATAATCTATTCAAGAAATGTCAGTCATAAGATGTAAACAAATCGAGAAATGTTGTTCTTAAGCTGTAAACAAAGAATAAACAACAAATGTCGTTCATAAGCTGTAAAGAAATAGAAAAAAAAACAAGTCAAGTAATGTCGTTAATAAGCTATAAACAAATAAAACATAAGACAACAAATGTCGTTCATAAGCTGTAATAAAATAAAAGCCAAGAAATGTCGTTCATAAGTTATAAACAAATAAAACATAAGACAACAAATGTCGTTCATAAGCTGTAATAAAATAAAAGCCAAGAAATGTCGTTCATAAAATGTACAGAAACAAATATTCTAGAAAAGTTGATCATAAGGTGTGTACATAAACCTAAAGAAACACTCCAGTGAAATCGTTCATAAGGTGTACACAAACCTAAAGAAGCACTCCAGTGAAATCGTTCATAAGGTGTGTGCACGAACCTAAAGAAACACTCCGGTGAAGTCGTTCATAAGGTGTGCGCATAAACCTAAAGAAACACTCCAGTGAAATCGTTCATAAGGTGTACACAAACCTAACGAAGCACTCCAGTGAAATCGTTCATAAGGTGTACACAAACCTAAAGAAGCACTCCAGTGAAATCGTTCATAAGGTGTGTGCACGAACCTAAAGAAACACTCCGGTGAAGTCGTTCATAAGGTGTACACAAACCTAAAGAAACACTCCAGTTAGGTTTGTGTACACCTTATGAAACACTCCGGTGAAGTCGTTCATAAGGTGTGTGTACAAAAACACTCGAGAGATATCGTCTATAAGGTCGTTCATTAAGTGTAAACCTAAAATTTCTCTCAAGAGATGTCATTCATGAGCTAAATACATAAAAAAAAACACTTAAAAAAAAGTAACCCGTAGATACAAAAAAACACTCGAGAAATATTGTTCAGTAGTTGTATATACAACCCCCCCCCAAAAAAAATTGAGAATTTTCATTAACAAGTTTATAAATATAAAATTGCACTAAGATTTTATAAAACGATTTGTAGAGATATTATAATGTATTTGGTTTACTAACATTTATTAGATACATGCAGATCTAAAATAAATTTCATTGAATTTCCTCATGCTATTTCAATGACTGAAAAACACCTCTGTATTTATTCTCGGCCCGGCATGGCCAGGTGGTTACGGCACTCGACTCGCAATCTGAGGGTCGCGGGTTCGAATCCCCGTCACACCAAACATGCTCGCCCTTTCAGCCGTGGGGGCGTTATAATGTGACGGTCAATCCCACTATCCGTTAGTAAAAGAGTAGCCCAAGAGTTGGCGGTGGGTGGTGATGACTAGCTGCCTTCCCTCTAGTCTTACACTGCTAAATTAGGGACGGCTAGCGCAGATAGCCCTCGTGTAGCTTTGCGCGAAATTCAAAAACAAAC